GTGTGTGTGTGTGTGTGTGTGTGTGTGTGTGTGTGTGTGTTTTTTTTGAGAAAGTAAAACTGCACAAAGTTCCCTGTAAGGGGTAGGTTTAGGTGTAGGGTTGGTGTAGGGCAATAGCACATACAGTTTGTACAGTATAAAAACCATTACGCCTATGGAATGTCCCCACAATTCACAAAAACAAACGTGTGTGTGTGTGTATCTGGTTTTAATAACAAGCATTTGAAAATTGACCTTATCATTTACCTAAACAAAACAATAAAAACCCTCCCTTCAGTGTGGCGCCAGACACAACATGACTGACTGAAGTAGGCAAAAACAGAGACATAAACATTGAATTATCCCTACAAACAAAATCATTCAGTAAAGAGACGTCAGTGCTCTTTCTGGCAGGCCATCATTAAACCTCATTGAAAGGATTGAAAAGTTCATTATTTACTTTAATTTTTTTTTTGCTCATGATAATTGTGTCCATTACATTCATTAAACCCCACAATGAGGCGTAAAAAAGCAATAATTGGAATATTAATAATATTAAAATAAAATATAATATAATTAATAAAATTATAAATAACAAGATGTCATTTAGTTTTGATTATAGCAGTCAATCCAGTACTTCTCTGAGCAATTAGCTGTAGCATTTGTTTCTGTCGGTTCTATTGACACTTTTATTAAATTCTTATAATGGATCAGATTTCTGCGCTACTACAGTATTTCACGCTTTGCACTTTTGCTTTTCTGTACTCCAGATGGCCATGGATTGGTGTGACTGTGACTTGCACAGCTAAACAGAGCGTTCTGACTTTAATGATGTCAGGAAACAGTGGAATAGAAGTGAGAATTAACCAATCTCTCTCTCCTCCTTCTCTCTGCCTGTATCTCTCTCTCTCTCTCTCTCTCTCGAGTGGGCAGTTGGGACCAGTATTCCCTCTAGTTTTGTTCTTGCTAAGCAAAATCTATATATTGTGGGCATGGGCATTTATTTTCATTTCGAACAGTTACTAAGGCAAGGCAAGGCAAGCCAGGTTTATTTATACAGCACATTTCATACACAATGGTAATTCAAAGTGATTTACTTAAAAGGAAATAAAATAAGCATAAAAAATAATCACAACGATAAAAGTGAGGAATTAAAATTTGAAACATATTTAAACATTGATTTACAATAAATTAAAACAGTTAAGAAGTGTAACAGTTACCAAGTGCTATCAAGATAAAAAATGTTGATGCCAGTAACTGCTTGAACTGCTTAAATGGTTCAGTATTTCTGCTCGTGTTCAGTTGAGTGGAACGAGAGATGATTCAGTGTTTTCACTTTTAAATACACTACAGCTCCAAAGTTTGGGGAATGTTTTTGAAAGATATCTCTTCGGCTCACCAAGGCTGCATTTGTTTGATCAAAAATACAGTTAAATTGTGAAATATTATTAGAATTTAAAGCAGCTGTTTTCTATGTGAATATCTGTTAAACTGTAATTATTTCTGTGATGCGCAGCTGTATTTTCAGCATCATTACTCCAGTCTTCAGTGTCACATGATCTTCAGAAATCATTCACAGCACATTTCATACACAATGGTAATTCAAAGTGATTTACTTAAAAGGAAATAAAATAAGCATAAAAAATAATCACAACGATAAAAGTGAGGAATTAAAATTTGAAACATATTTAAACATTGATTTACAATAAATTAAAACAGTTAAGAAGTGTAACAGTTACCAAGTGCTATCAAGATAAAAAATGTTGATGCCAGTAACTGCTTGAACTGCTTAAATGGTTCAGTATTTCTGCTCGTGTTCAGTTGAGTGGAACGAGAGATGATTCAGTGTTTTCACTTTTAAATACACTACAGCTCCAAAGTTTGGGGAATGTTTTTGAAAGATATCTCTTCGGCTCACCAAGGCTGCATTTGTTTGATCAAAAATACAGTTAAATTGTGAAATATTATTACAGTTTAAAATAACCATTTTCTATGTGAATTTATATTAAAATGTAATTTATTTCTGTGATGCAAAGCTGAATTTTCAGCGTCATTGCTCCAGTCTTCAATGTCACATGATCCTTCAGAAATCATTTAATATGCTGATTTGCTCCTCAAGAAACATTTTTCATATTCCTGTGGTAACTAGGGTTGGGTATCGTTTGGGGTTTTTTCGATACCGGTGCCAAAACTATACTTTTAAAACGGTTCCGGTGCCTGAACCGATACTTATTACAAAATATAGTAAATAAAAATTCCCCCCAAAAATGATGGATTGGTGGGGTTCCTGGGCGGGGCTTCACCTAACAGTATACGTAGCAAGATTTTTTTTTTTTTGTTTGCTTATTTTGTTTTTATAATTAGTAAAAAGAAAACGAGTAGAAAGAATAGAAAAAGAATAGGGAAAGCTAGTGTCAGAGGGTCATTTTTGAATAAATATAAAACAATTCAATAGAACAGAAAAAGAACAGATAATGCTAGTGTTAGAAGGTCATTATTTATAACAAATAAAAAGAAAATAAGTGGAAAGAATAGAGAATGCTAGTGTTAGAGGCTCTTTTCTTTATAAATAAAACAAGTAGAATAGAAATAGAATAGAGAGTGCAAATGTTAGGGGGTCAAGTTTTTTAATTAAAAAAAACAAGTAGATAAAATTAGAAGTAGCATTAGAATAGAGAGAGCTAGAGTTAGAGGGTCAAATGAAGATGAAAGATATGCGTTTTCAGCTGTTTCTTGAAAATATTAAGGACTCAGCTGCTTGGATTGAGCTGGGCAGGTCATTCCACCAGGAGGGAACAGTTAATGTAGAAGTCCATGAAAGTTTTATCATAGGTAGAATGCAAAATGTTTCAATACAAGCATTTCAGTCAAATGTAATTTATGCAATATTTCAAACCTTGTGAAAATCAACCCATGGCAACAGTTTAAAAGTAGCCCAATTCTGTGGACAAAACGTGGACTTGGCAACCCTGCATCCAACAAGAGATGCAGGAGTCAGATTTGACTGATCACAGGTCGAGAATAAGGAGAGATGACTGACAAGCACTGCTGTCTCTCCCATCAGTCTTCAGGCTCTGTTTAGTGACTAGCGCTGCAGTTCCCTGATGTCCGGCACACATAAATCTAGCATAGCATTAGTTCTGGCAGGTCACGTTAGTCAAGCTCGCATCAGCTGACTCTCAGCTGATCCGTAGTGTGTGTGTGTGCGTGCGTGCGTGCTTGCGTGCGTGCGTGCGTGCGTGCGTGCGTGCGTGTGTGTGTGTGACCCAAAGCTCATGTTCATGTAAATTAATGAGCTCTGCCTCTAATCCAGCCAGCTAATGTCTAGACTGGATGTACCAGCATGATCAAGACCTTATTACTGGAGTGTATTGGGGACTATAGTATGTTTGCACTAGATCATGTTAATTTGACAGATGTCTCATGCTGTGCAGGGCCGACAGTTTATAAAGCAGCAATGTGGCAGCAATTTTGGGTTCTGCTTCATTGAAAACCTGTTGCATGTTTCCTTTCTAAATCCCGGAACATCGTTTTTTGATGTTCATTGAACATCATCACTTTTTTTCAGGTAAATTTCATGCCCAATTGCTCTGCAGGATTGTGTTTCTGTATAATCTCAGTGAAGGCAAAAAAACATCACTACTTCCTGAAATACTTCCTAGGGGTTAAACCAAACCCTGTGGCACTGCTGTCTCTCCCATCAGTCTTCAGGCTCTGTTTTCATGCCCAATTGCTCTGCAGGAATTGCCTTTAGTTTGCTTGTTTATGAATCGAGATTGTAATGATTTTTTTTTTTTTGGCCTGGAAGAAAAGGAGATTCATGGCTGGTGTGGATACAAAGGAAAAGAAGCAATCGCAGGGCAATGTGTTCTGCTTCAGTACTTTAACAAAGCAAGAGACGTGCTGTACTGTAGTTCTGTCTAGATGCTCAAATGTATGTGCAGGTTTTTTTTCTGGCTAGTTTCAAACCATTTCATAAGGTTACGATTTCTTTGAAGATGGTGAAATCCAGAAGAGGTTGGGATTTCCATAGGATTTCTATGCTGAATGTAGATATCTGTAAAAGTGTGTTTTACATGAAATGGCTTGACGAGCAGTTTTGTTTCCTGTTAAAGCAGGAAGTTGGGCCTGGACAAAATGCTTTATCTCAGTTACTCTACTGTTCATGCATTTTAATGCATCTGCCTGGCACTTTTATCTGAAGTGACTTACATTTACGGTATACATTTTATCAGTTGTTACATTCCCTGGGAATCTACCCTTTGTATTGCTAGCACCGCGCTTTACTGTTTTATCTACCGGAATATGAGTTTTTAAATGGATTTTTTTAAATTATTTTTTTTAAAACAAATCTACATCACTAGTCATTTATTCTAGAAAGTGTTCGATTAGACAAAAAGAGTGAGTGCACGATGAGTCATTAGTATTTTTACAAGGTTGTTTAGAATCAAGACTGATTTGTTTTCTCATGGTTATTTGGCATGTTTTGTTGTGTATTATGTGTATTGTTTTATGTACAGCACTTTGGATCTGCTGTGTAGGTTGAAAGTGCTTTTTTTTTAAATAAATGAAATGCAAATGAAGACAAGCTAAATCTACTAAAAGATCATTTTGTCAGTTTTTAACATAACATGCTGCCATAAAGATGACATCAATTTTGATATTTAAACCTGTGCTGTTTTTGCCACTCACAGTATTGGGTGCTGTAAATATTGTGCAATTGCTAAAAAAAAAAATATATGTATCATCAGAAGTGCTCTTAATATTCTCAGTGTTGGAGGGTTTTGGTCAACCAAATGTTTCAGCACTGTATGGTTTATATGATAATTCATATTGCTTGAGCATTCATCTAAAAGCTTGTAGAGATATGAATATGAGATTGTGACAGTGTGATTAAAATGGTGTCCTGGTTTTTTTTTTGTCCTTCCAGGTATTCAGCTCTTCACAATGGAAACCACACTGAACAGGAGAAACTGTCAATACAGAACGACACAGAGTCCCAGGAGTCATGTTTCTGACACAGGCCAGCCTCTAATGAGGAGCATGACTGGAAGGTGCCATTTCTCACCGCCCTGCCTGCAGCTCAGACCCGACCAGAGCCCTTCAGGAGTCGAGTACAGGGAGCTGCACTGAACTGTTTGCTCAAAATGCTGCTGAACAATGAGGGAAAGAACAATGTTGCCAAAGGTATCTGGTCTGTATTTTAGGATACGAATTTCCATTGCAAAAGAATGTTGGTAAGGGTTTTCCCAATGTGTTTGTTTCCTTTTTGGTTCCCCTGGGAATACTATTTCCAAACCAAAAACACGTCGTTCAAGCTTTATCCAGAGAGGCTTTTATTAGCTCTAGAGTCAGGATAGCACTTCCTGAAAGCTACGGCACAGGTGCTGAACAGCTAAAGAAAGATTTATTTTTATTCTATAAAGGAAAAAATAAATTCACACCACAGTATTAAGAGTTAGAGCTGGGAGCATTGCTGAGCGATTTCTCGAATTTCTATTTTTTAATTGTTCCATTAATGAATTCTCAAATACAGTTCTAATATAGGATTGTCACATGAATTGAAATGTAAAATGTTAAAAACAACAGGTCTATTTCAAAAGTATTTGGAAGCCTGTTTCCGCCACTGAATTAAAAAAGCTAATTGAAACTTTTTATCTCACAATTCTGACTTTTTTTTTCTCACAGTTCTGAATTTTTTCTCAGTATTTTGCGAGTTCTAAAATTAGAATTGCATGATAGAAACTCAGAAGTCTAAGAAATAAAGACGCAATTCTGAGAAATAAAGTTAGAATTACAAGATATAAACTCCCAATTGTTAAAAAAAAATAAGAATTGCAAGATATAAACTTGAAATTGTGACTTTTTTTCATAATTGCAACTCTGTATCTCGCAATTCATTTGCAAGTTATTAAGTCAGAATTGCGAGATTTGTACAGAAACTTGTACCTGTAAGAAAATATAAGTTTTTTCCACCTCAGAATTGGACTTTATAATTGTGAATTTATATCTCACAATTCTGAGAAAAGAAGTCAAAACTGCTAGATACAAACTTGCAGATTTATCTACTTGCAGTTTATATCACGCAATTCTGAGAAAAAAGTCAGAATTGCGAGTTCATATCTCACATTTCTGACTTCATTTCTCAGGATTGCACGTTTATATCTTGCAATTTTGACTTCATAACATGCAATTGGGAGTTTATATCTGATGTGTCGGAAACAGGCTTCCATAAAAATATGCCCCAAGATTCTTCAAAATGATTTAATAAAAACACTGCTTTTTAGACTTCTTAAATGGATCATCCTTATACAAAGGATTTTTGACAGGAGATTAACTTTTGTTTTCTTCTAGCCATGAAATCTGGCTCGAGGAAACCATAAAATCTCCATTTTCTTGCTGTGAACTGAAATCTCATTTATGTAGTATAAGACTTCAGAAGTTCTTTGGGGAATGAAATGTACTACTCGCAGACTGGTTGATGTAATTTGGCTTCTTGTAAACCTCTCTGAATACACAGACCCACAGGTGACCGTTCTCAGTCAGGTCAGCTCTGCGCTTCACATGCATCACTAAATGCATCCATTTGCACGACGGTTTCCGCTGCGAGGTTCTCCTCTGCCGTGATTCACTGGCATAAACAGCGCAGTGTTTTTCTGAGAGCGCTAAAACTACATGATGCCTGCTGACTGAGAATGTGTCAGGCCACTCCAAACAAAACCTCTGCTGACAGCAACCAGTTCTCCCAGATACCGTCTTAAAATGTTTTAGCCTTACTGAAGATGACCATCGGTTACTGCAAGACTGAAATGTTTAAAAAGAAATTACCTTAAGTTGTTCTTGCAAAAGTTCTTAAAGGCATAGTTCATCCAATAATGGCAATTTACTATTTATTCACCCTCGTGTTATTTCAAACCGTGTCAGCTTCTGTGAAACAAAATGCCATTTATATTCAAAATAGTGAATTTTGCAGTGAATTTTTGCAGGCGAAAACCAGTCATTTCAATACGAATCCACACAATTGAGAATTTCACATAAAGGTGATAGATTTACCATGCAGATTTCACATTGGGTTCAAGTTGGTTAAGCAAATTTGCCACATTGACCAACCATCTGCTTGGTTTGAAAATGACTTCTGTGTGAGCTGTGCTTCGTACATTTCTACACTGTTGACAATGGAGCTTTTTGCCTAAAAACTTTTACCAAAATATTGTAATGAAAATAGCAGGAAATACACCATGAAACATTTGTGTGTGTGTGTGTGTGTGTGTGTGTGTGTGTGTGTGGACAACTTATACAAGCTAATCTGTTATTACTCGTGCGTAAAAATGACATGCTATATAATACTGAGCTAACAAGTTTAAAATAAACAGTTGAATGATTTCTGTCTTTTATGACTAGTTCCGCAATGTTCTGAAATGTTCCAGAAAGCACTAGAATATTACAGAATGTTACAGAAACTTCTAGAATGTTCCCTTCCTTGCAAAATCATCAATCAAAACATGCAAAATTAGTAAAAAAAAACGTATCTGTACTAAACCAATGTTCCATAATAATGAAAGAAGTTCTACAATTTACCTGACCTAAATATTTACCAAAATATTGATGCTACGTGAAAATAAATAGTACAGTAATACTTAGCACCGCAGAATTACAGAAGAACCATAACAAAAATTAAATGAAACAAAATTTTGTTGCATTGCGATATTCTTTTACCATTTTCCATAAAAGAAATCAAGTCCATATGGGTTTGGAACAACCTGAGGGCGAGTAAATAATGACAGAATTTTTATTTCTGGGTGAAGTGTTCCTTTAAGAATATGTCATGCGAATGATTCCTAGTTATGAGGAGAGGAAATACAGCTGCTGCAGGAGTTTGTCTTGAGAAAACCAATTTAATGGAAAAACCGTGCAGATGAATTTTTGTTCCTTGACATTTCTAACTAAAACCTCTCAAAGCAGTAATGTGCCATAATAAAGCTCGCTTCCAGAGCTGAGGACCCCAATAAACATGCTCCTCAGAGAGCCTGGATATAGCAGAACTGACCCAGAACAATCTCCATCCCTCATTCCAGCACTTGCCCGTCTGCCTCAAATCAATTACCTTCGGGAACAGCAATTGTTTGAATTGATCTTAGAGATGTAAATATTTTTAAATAACTACGTTTCATGTGTCAGCCATCAGAAAAATAGGTTTGGTCACGAATATGTTATCGCAGACCAAACTTAATATTGGAGGAATGTGAAAGTTGATGAATGAATTTGACTCTCGTGATCAGTTTTGATAAATGTAATCATTTCTAAGATTTGATCAACCAGTGGAAGAGTCTATTATGGCTTTATTAGTTCCAATACGAACAGAGCTAGCTATACATTACCTAGCTCCAGGGAATGCCCACATTAGCTTTCTTTTCTCATCTTCTCATGTTTTTATCAACCGATATTTAATTTCTAAAGGTAGAGCTTAGTTTGATTTTATTGTACATAGGAATATATTTTTATGCAAACTATTTGATAGTGGTCTATGTGTTCCTTTAAATGCTTTAGTCGAACGCGTTTCTTCTTCCAGTCTGGTGTATCCGCGAACGCTGACCATGAATCTAGCGTGTCATTGGAAGCAATGTCCAGATAAGCTGTATGCCAGGCTACTTGTTTTTTTACAATCAAACATGTACATGGTCGTGCCTTCACAGCTATCTTACGGATGTACAGAGCATTGTGAAACCGTGCAAGTTCATGCTGGTAGTGGTCGAAAATGTTTCCTTTTAAGAGGTTGTAATGTACAATCAAAGGCAAACCAGCCACCCGCAGGGCTCTGATGAGTTATAACGTCCAAATTATCGATCTTCGGTTTTCATTTGTACAATTTGAATTACGTAGCACCTTTTAATTCCGAGGTACTTTGCCGTTATTTAACAGTAAGCGGTTTTGTCGGTCCAACAACTTGCACAATTTCCTATCTGTGTTCTTTGGATGTCATTATGTTGTTTAAAGATGGAGATTTTGCAATGGTTGATGCTTAGGAAACAAGAAATGCATGCTGTTTTGAGCGCCAAAGGATGTGGAAGGAAGGATTTGTGGGAATGCCAATATACTCCATAGCCATGACAGAAGCAAAAACACTCCTACATGAGCCCTGAGTTATTGCTTGGAAAAGATTTGCGTCAGAAATAACTCTCCCCGAACCTTCATGGACCTTCAGGGTAGTCATTACCGTCAGGATTTCATGCGAAATGATGAAACCTTACATATGAAGCGTGTTCAAACACCTCGAGGCCCTGAAGGCAGAAGTTCTAAGCATGAATGTGTTGTAAATCTCCCAACAAGTTGTAGAACTTTTGTAAACTCAGTATTTATTTTGGTGGATTAAGATTGATATTTTCATGTAAGGCTTCTCTTTCAGGGAGCTGTGTGTATTACTTTTTCTGTTGCTATGTGACAGCTCTAAAAAAAATAATAATTAAAGACTACGAGATGTTATTAATCCTTATGTGTTTTGTGTTTTATCAAAATGGCATGCCAGATTTGCACACTAACACTATCAATCAAAATTAATCCTTGTATATTCTGTTTAAAGGACAGATGATATAGACAGATCATCATGAAGCAGAATGATATTTTTGGATACATTTGTGAAATCTGACAGTGATTATGAGACGAGTAAAACTCTTCTCCACATGGCCATGTTTTCTTTTGCAGATGTTGACAGATATTGTTGACAGATATGATCCACTCAAAGGGGAAACGTCTTGTTTTCCACAGTAGACTAAATAGAAATTTGTGAACTGGAATTTTTTATATGACGCTGATTAGAAACAGCTGTTAACGCAATACATTTGTTCTTTAATTAAAGACAATAGCCATGTTCAGAATGTAATTCTGGTTTCACTGTGGACTGTACTGCCAATGATATAGAAAAAATAGTAAGTATAATAAGAAAATAGTAAGTACTGTATATACTTTATGAAGTTTATATATATATATATATATATATATAACTTTTACATGCACCCAATTAATTCATTTCTCTTTCATGAGTTAATGCACGGGTTTGCATAATGCTGAAAACATATTCAGAAACTTTTTGCAGTTGTGTGATGAAAAATGAAAAAATGTGTGATGGTATATAAGAAAAAGCATTTACTAAAAACAAATATGAAATATTTTCGAATTTTTGGACAATTGGA